ACCTGAAAACTTACCACTTAACTACTAGTTAAGGAGGATTTTCCCCCACAATATTATTCCTAATCATGAATTATCTAATTTTCAAGAAAGCGGATTTTAACAATCTGACTATAGAACCAAAGCTGATCGAGAATTTTAAGTTTCGAATTAAAATGTTTCTATACAAAGGTGCTGATATATCTACTCTCTTGAGGAAGAGGGAATAAAACTCCGAGAGCTTCCATATGTCCTTTCGCGTTATTCGAAGAGAGGCAACATTGGCATTCTTCTTATCAATGGCTCTCTTTGCTGATATTTTTTTGTTCAACCTACAGCATAGTAAAATAAATCTTTGTAAATGTCTTTACAGCATATGTATATGTATCTTATATTTATTTATTTACCCTATAAACCCTATATAAATGCATTCGAGACACAAACCAGTCTTCTAACCTTTCATACTCAGGTTGATTTGCACTTAACATTAGTTCTGAAGGTTATCCTTGAATGGATTTATATTCCACTAAGCCATTTTATAAGCCACTTTAGCATTAGGTATTAAGAGTTATTTCAACTTATAGCATTGCTCTATAAGATTGTTGTATCAAAATTAGGAATTGAAATTGTATTACCTTATTTCCTTCTTTTTCCCCATGGTCGTAGAGGACTTCTGCGCCAGCCTTTATGTCTTTTACTGCGAATAAGCAGAGTGTAGGATTATTCTCTACACACGCTACTTTCATCTTAGCATTCAAATGCTCGTATCCGCCGTGATTAACTAGCCGTCCCAACGTGGGACCGCTCGTTGGCTCTTCGGTCGCATCGAAGTGTGAAGCAAATCAAGTCTTACATACTTCGCATTGAAGTGTGAAGCAAATCAAGTCTTACATACAGATGCCTTAAAGTCTTTTTTATCCAAATGATGTTTCAAGTGTGCGCCTTGACGCTTGCGAGTCGTGTTTGATAACATGACACAGTCGCAGATAAAATATGCAATTGATCGTCTAAATTGCCTGACTGAATCATTCAGATTCGTGCAATGTTTGACTTATATTAGGTTACTGTAAGCACAGGCATATGTTTCTACCCCACCACTGACAAGTAAAATCGTTTGGCACTAGACAGAGCAAATACTAAAGTAGGATGATTCACTATCTAAGGCATCTTCCAATAAACGCTTCTCTCCTCTCAACGCAATATTTTCCTTTTGTAACCCTCCGACTCACTGCAGGGCTTCCATAATTTATTTGCATATTGCTCTCCTCACACAGGGATGGGATTGGTGAGCAGAGAGAAACAAAGAACTTTTGAAAAGAATGTATAATTTATGCAATTAATAATGACCCGTTCCCCCATAGTGGAGCACTTTTCTAAGAAAATTTCCTTAGAAATGGAAACCCTGCCCCCAAGATCAGTTTCATCGTAATGTACTGTTACAGTATACGTTGAATCCTTCCATGTATTTAATAATTTCGTAGTCTGTCGACCACCACTTTTCTGTGCTCGCTTGTAAGCTAACTGAAGACTGTTGATATTCTTTTTAAAACGACCAAGCAGATGGTTATTAAGCTTTATACAATGGATGCCAGAGTGATGGAGAATTTTATTGATGACCAATGTCAACCACGACTCATAAGTTTGCGCATGCTGCCGTTTTCCATCGGTTAATAGCGAATAAATCAAATAGCTATAACAATTTATGTAATCAATATGCAATGAATTAATTAATATGAGATCCCGATGTGGATTTTAATACACGCCCAATTCCGGCAACGTAACATCTGAAATTCACCCCAAATACCTTTTGGCACCTTGTTTGAAGCATCGACATAGTATGCCGTTTGTGCGAAATGGAACTTTTTTTCCACTGCTCCCCTCACATAATCGATATCTTCTGAAAAGAAGTCACCATTCATGATTAAGGCGACGTTGTAGTAGGCCGTTGATTCAACATTTAGAGAGTGAATCTTTATGAACGCCGTTTCGAGTTCACCAATGTCCGATTTCTAAAAAAGTGTACAAGATAAAATATTTACACACTCAATATATGATCTGTAGTTATCTTTTAATTATGGCGACGCCAAATACGATGTATAAGTACGTCAAAACTGTATGCAAATTCGTGTGCGTCTTAGTTAAATTGATAAAATACCTTTTTTAACTCCAAAATGGACTCCAAATCCTTTGAGATGTGTAATCCTTCCTTGAGATAATTCTTTCCTTAGGACCACTGCCTTGATGCTTGCCTTCGAAATAACTCATGCTTGATGCTTGCCTTCAGCTTCAAAATAATCTCCTTAGCTCCTTTCTTCACGAGGAAATCAAAGAAAAATGTTTTGCGATCCTTCACAACGAGTTCATAATAAAAATCGTACAAACGAGCCAACCATGAAGTAATTTGTTTAATAAATGTGTATAGAGATCAATTTGACAACGACACGCTTTTAATATACAAAAACACAGTGAGCAACAAAAATCGAAATTTTATGCCTCAAAACATATTTATTACCGTTCAGCTTCTTTGTAATTTTGTTCAAATCCTTTGAGATGTGTAATGACTGTTTTCAAGCTTCCTTCGGAGAGGTTTCCAATAGCATGGGAAGACAGGATTCCAATTTCACTTTCCCTTCCTTCGATGACTTGGGTGTCTTCCCCTTCTCCGCTGATTTGTACACAGGGATGCTGCTGCTCCCTTTCCCACATATTTGCCTTATTAAAGAACTCGCCAACACCTTAGGTGAAATGATGGAATAATTAATCAACGTTGACACAAGTATTACTAATTCTCATTGGACCTTTTAGGGCCTACAGACTCACAGTAATCCAAATAAAGTACTATTACATTGATTCAATGTACTTAATGTACAGTTTGTACACTTTCCGTTGTATACCTGTATATGTTATATATAATTATAAGACAAAGGATTACATATGCCAAACTTACTTCAGGCAAGGGACCTCTTGAAAACTTGACATCGGTAAAAGATGCAAGTTTTGCCTCTGATGTATGATTTGGAAATCGGGCTACGACAGCTTCCCATGAAGTCTTGCCAACGTGTTGGCAAAACGACATTTGTATTTTTTCTTTCTTTTTATTGACACACAAGTTGCTTGAAGCTCTTTTAAACTACACTCTCCTTTTACCAGGCGTTGTAAGACAACTTGGTGTGCTTCCCTTGCAATGGCATTCCAAGCTGTTTTTTAAAGAAAAATACGAAATTATTCATGGCACTGAATTGAGTTTGAGCGAGTTGAGCAGATAGAATTCAAAGCACATACTTGATTTTGGGTGAGCTCTTGCTTTTTTGAGCCTGGACGTTTCTGTTTGTTTTGACCCGATAACTTTCCCTCTTCGAACATCTCCACCGCCTCTTGCCATAGGGTAAAAACACCACGGGACAGCAAAGCTGTTTGCAACGTACTTTCCAATGTATTCACATTCTGCAAAGAAACAAAAAGAAACTAAGAGGGCATGATACTGAAACACTGTTGGTATCGTTGAATAACTTATATTTTTACATTTTATGTAAATACGTCTTTTTGTGGAGATTGTTTATTAAAATAGAGATCACAATCTCTACGCCGTCATTAAAAATATCCCGCTGACAAAACGCACCTTCATTGGCTCAACAAACATTTCCTGGCAATCTTTGCACCATTTTAACGATGACGGGGGAACTTCGTCAACGTCACTGTTCTTTTCTTCCAGACCACCAATAAGCGTAATTTCGCAACCTTTTACGTCGCCAGCTTGCTTAATACCGTCCCCTGGTACTTGACATATGCTAAGCCAAAGTTGGTTACTCACCATCGCACAGGGATTCTCCTTCAGTATGCCACGTGGTCGTCGTCAATTGGGCGATCAAGCCACTTTGCCGGTGGTTCTTTGAACGTTGACCATCTCAATTGAAATATGCCTTTCAAAAATAATAAAAACATGGATTATATGTAGTTACAACAGTCTCGAATCGAAATTAGAAATGGGCGTTTACCTAATCGATGAGCATCCAGCTCACTGTCTTCTGTTCGTGGAACAATCCTTTTTTTACCTGGACTGACTAATTCTTCCGTTTTATTGTCCTCATAATTGAGCTTTCGTTTGCTTAATTTTCCTCGTTTTCCGTGCGCAGTGGAAGGTACGCTTTACTGACACACACTGTAAATCTCGGAGTGTTGGCACAACACCGAAATCGGTGTAAAATCTTGCAGCAATATGAACACTAATATGGTGTTTATTTACGCTATATTTTGGGTTAATTTACACTATTCATGGGTAAAGTTTATGCAGCTATGTGTACACTATGGCGACGTAAATATACACCATTAACGTAAACTAACACCTCTATAGGTTTTCCTACACCTATTTTGCGTAAAAACGCTTGCAGCAATATGAACACCAACTTCGTGTATAAATACACCGCGAGAGTAAACTTACCCCTCCCAAGGTTTTTCTACGCCTATTTAGTGTAAACGTGCTTGCAGCAATATGGACACCGACCTAGTGTATAAATACACCGCGAGGGTAAACTTACCCCTCCAAAGGTTTTTCTACGCCTATTTAGTGTATACGTGCTTGCAGTAATATGGACACCGATCTGGTGTATAAATACACCGCGAGGGTAAACTTACCCTTCCAAAGGGTTTTACGCCTATTTAGTGTAAATATGCTTTCAGTAATATAGACACCGATCTGGTGTATAAGTACACCAAAAGAATAAAAATGCTCTTCTAAACAATGGCCCGGTGCCACGAAATTAATTAATTCTAGTGCAGTGGTAAGGTAAAAACATATTTATTTCTATATGACAGAATATATTACATTATATTATACTGTACATAACAAATTTACAAACCAGCTATATAACATGCACTTATGCCTAATATTTCACTGTTCCAGTTCATTTAAGAATAATAAAACTTTGGTTGGCACTCTTACCCGGTCAAAAATATTTAGAACAGTACGTTGTAAAAAAAGGAACGTGTTAAAACACTGTTTCGGGTACTCTAAATTACAAACATAATACAAAACAAAAGGGACGATACTGCTGAAAAAATGTTATCTGTTTCCAAACAAACTTGTTTTTCCCCTGCAACAAACATTTTGTTCATTATGTGACCATCACTGTCCTCCACAAAGATGATGAATGGGCTGATGGGGCTGGCAGCTTTCTTTAACAATACCTCTGGGTTTTCTGCTGTCTACATTTGAAATAAAAATATTATAAAAAATCATAACAAAGTCTTCATATTAAAACTATTCATGATTGACCACTTAACAGACCACTAGCTTACACTTATCATGACAATACATTTCTCCAAAAGGTGGTGTAATAACATTGATAAGCATTGACAAGGTACTAAAGTATATTATACATACCTGATAAAGGAAATTTTCTGGATGTGAATTACTTTTTTGTTTTCCTTTCCAAAAGGTGTGGCAAGGTACAAAGTGCCACAACAACTTTCTCATCTAGGAACAAAGAAAAAATTACATATTTAATCTTAATTATTGCTCTGACTGTGTTAATAAAGAAGGAGAATAATCACAATAGGGTGTATATATTGAAACCGCACACAGCATAATAATTAACTTTTGATAGTGAAAATATATTCATTTAAATGAGTATGAATGGGATTACCATCTGTCAATCTGTTCTCCTCATCCAGTTCATCCTCATTTTGTACGCAAGCTTGAACCAGTTCTTCAAGTTGAGGGAGTTTCTTCTTGCTGGCAGCTTTCAAAATCTTAGGTGCAAGCTCACGTAAGTTTGTAACAACCAAATCTTTAACACTACTGCCAGACACCAATCTTTCATACTCATCTTGCAACTATAAAAAATCAATATAAGTTATAAGAGTAATTTAAAAGTAACTTATCAATTATATTACCAGTGCCGGATTATATGTTTATGCACAGATATTACTAACTATATAATACTAACCTGATCATGTTCAAATAAAAAAGGGTATTTTGCATCAATTTCATTAAGGGAACACTTCCCAGCATTTATGTACTTTCTTCTGAAGGAGAAAGTCAGTTGCATTTTCTGCTTAACGACTTCCATGTTTGGGTGCTTTTTTCGGTACTCCTTCTGCATCCATTGAACATGGGCTTTGTTAGAATGTAGGTCCTCACCATCAACAGCAGGAGGTTCCCAATTTATTATTCCCCTTCGGCTGCTTCCTGGCACCTTAGCTGTCAAATCCGAGCCTTCAATTGACTTTCTTTTTCTTGCTAGCACAACTGGATCACTCCTTTCATGCCTTAATTCATTTTTAACTTTATCGCCTAACTGACGATACCAGGTTTCCTAAGGAAAAATTATATGGTCTCAGTATTTTTCATTAATACATGGTTTAATTCAGTATTAACATACAAAGCAACAGTGTTTTCCCCTTCACATGTAAATCATCTGGCATCAGATATCAGGCCATGATGGGATTTCAATAAGGCTTGTGAAATAATATTGGTACATGAACTTTTCACAATCATAGTCCAATACATAATAAGCCACAGGAAATGTTAAAAAAGAGCAAACAAATAATTGCAAAAAAATAATGCTAAATCATTAAAATATTACTTACATAGCTGCCACCAACATCTGCCAAGGAAGGATATTTTGATATAATTGCCCTACATACATCACGGCGTTGGTCAGGTGTTGGTGAACTAAAATGTATTAAAATAAATAAAATTAAATAACAAACAATTCAGTTTAATGTGTCCTACATAAGCAAACCTACATACTGTAGCCCCAAAAGTGCTGGTCACTTCACTTTCATGCAACACAGTAAAAAAAAGTATACATACATTGTAAAAAGGCATATCTTGTCATAAATCGCCTGGATAAATTTCACACGAATCAACTTTGGTAAGGCTATATTCTTTGACAAGGCTTCTTGTACAGCTGGGGGAAATCGTTCAGGTAGGCAAAATGGTGTAACCCAGGTTTTTCTTACAGTGGAGCAATCATTCCTAAATAGAATTAATTTTGTGGATAATTCGTTAAGTCTTAACCTATTAAGCATTAGGTGTGTTTACTGGAAGTCACAGATTATTTGCAACTGTGAATTATGCTTTCAAAATTAGGCTAAACTTGCTTTACATGTTTTGAAATTGTTACATCTTAGTGAAGTAACGATCAGTTACATCAATAAGGACACCTGAATGTACTCGATTTATACACATACCTTGGTATTGGCGAAGAACAACGAGGCGAATCTTGATCTTTAGAGTTATTTGGGCATTCTAAATCCCAAGGCAAACGTGACAAGCTACCACTGTTGCCGCTTTCAACAGACTCAGAATCACTCCTAACCATCTTCTTAATAACGCCTAAAAGCTTCATTCTTGGCCCAACTTTGTCGACAAGAGACTCGAGTGCATTCTCAGATAAAAGAGCGAGCGCTTCACCGTCAACATCCTCTTCTAGTTTCACAAATACAAATACAAACGGAAATTTATATTGTGACGAGTGATATGAACGCTAATATAATCAATCGGATCAACAAATAAACTAAATTGAGAATCTAAATAAGTAAAAGTGAACTAGCTCTGTAGGCTATAAACAACGACTAGCTTGGAGTATTTATCTCTATAATAAAACTCACCGATAAATTTATCACTAAACGTTTCAAATCCATTGAGTTTAAGCCATTCCGATACTTCTTCGCACGAATAAGCGATGGATGGGACCTTATCCATTATCGGAATTTCAAAAATTTTGTGATGCCGATATAAATAACAATGTTTCAACTTTCAACTGTCAAAAGTCAACACGTGTTGTATATAATCACTTATCTGTGTATATAACCCCAGTGTTTGTAAATAGGTTTGCAGTAATCACTATTGGTTTGAATCGCTTATTGGTCGGATTGTCTGCATTGTCTGAAACGTGATTGGTTTAGAATAGTGCGTTACGATTGGTCAAAGAAAATATCAACTTATAATTATCCTCTATTCAGCTGAAGCTCTGGCTTACAATATTTTTTAATTAAAATACTTTATTATCCTAACAATTTGGAACAAAAATGCCCTCGAAAATCGCAAGGTATTTAGGATGCTTTGTGACGTCGAACATATTATATTATACGAACATTATAATTATATACACAGCATAATCTTGTATCCACCGGCCCACTCATCCTCAGTGAGGGTCATGTTTTCGAAAGTGGAAGCACTGTTATTGTGTTTTTCGAACTTTTGGCATAGATGCAAATATTATTTTAATTTTTTATATTATTTTTATACCAGCATGGTTGGATAATGGCGAGTAGTTTTCTTTGTCAAAAACCGGAGTGTTTTCATCTTTCCTTTACTACATTCAATCGTTTTTTAAACCACCTACGCGATAATCACATTCATGAGCCAGGGTTCAAAATAAAATGTCCAGTGCAGTCATGCTTTCGCTCATATTCTGTTCTCTCCTCTCTAACTTCGCATGTTTCCCGTAAACATGGAAAGGAAAAAGTAATAAATGATGACGTTGGTTCAAGAATTCCCGAAAACGATGCACTAAACCGATTGGATAATACAATCGAATGTATACCGAAGACAGGAGAGGCTTTCTCAAAGAGACATTTAGCTTTATTTGCCCTAAAGACGCAAGAATTAAATCAACTAACTGACAGTACAACAAACAAGGTGATAGATAATACAACAGAATTACTCCAACAACACGAGGCCCATGTTAAAGAAAAGATTAGACTGTGTTTGGATAAAAGTGGGATTAAAATCAGTGATATTGATGGATTGGGAGTTGTCATGAACTTGGAACAAACACCCAACATGGAATTCCTGAAATCCACTAAGAATAGGAACAATTATATATCTCAAGAATTTAAGATAGTGGTATGTATATAGTAATGTATTTTTATGTATGGTTGTAAACAATGTCTAACAATGTCTGATTAGTTTATATTAAATGCTGAGTGCATCCTTATCTTACTTATATCTAGAATCCAATTGAGATAGTCCTTGGGGAGAAATATATGTATGATGAGAATACAGCGAATGGTTCATCGAAAGTGAAAGTGCATTCATTCCAGTACATATCATTCATCCAGGTCCTTCAACAGCTGCTAAATCAAATTGATGTTTACTCACAGGTCATTATTCATATAACAACTATAAGTGTCCTGGAAATTTATGATATGACTACCATAATAATATGACTACCATATTATGATATAATATATTTTAATTGATATTTTTTTTAGATTGAAAATTCTCATAGAAGTGTTGATGGGAAAATGAGGGACCTTTGTGATGGTGCTGATTTTGGAGTGGGCAAACATCCACTTTTTTCCTTAAATTATAAGGCTATCCAATTAATTTTATATTATGATGACTTCGAAGTTTCCAATCCACTAGGATCAAAAGCTGTTGTACATAAAATTGGTAGGTTTTTTTATTGTCACAAGATCAACAACTTTGCAATATTGGACTTTGATAGTTCAATTGGATTACTTTTTAAAAAAACACTGATCTGTCAATAAACATTTTCATTTTTATTTACATACTTGCAGGTGCCTTCTATTGGGTGTTAGGAAATTTCCATCCCAAGTATAGATCATGCCTAAAAAATTTGAATCTTTTGATTCTTTGTCCAGTCAAGTGGATTAAGATGTATGGTATGGATAAAGTCCTCAGGCCATTCATGAGTGACCTTGCTATGCTTGAATCAGTAAGTAATGAATTAATACAATACATTTTATTGTGAATATCACCAATTATCAATATATTCAAGATTCCCTATTAAAGAATTTGCCTCAAGCTTGCCAAGAAATATGAGTAATAAATCTAATGCATCTCAAAATGTAATTTTGCTACTTTTTTCAGGAGCATGGCGTACAACTCAATATAGCAAATCAAATTATTCCAATTAAAGGAACATTAAGTGTAGTAGTTGCAGATAACCTTGGTAGCAATTCAATTGGAGGTTTCATGGAGAGTTTCAGTGCAAATCGGCCGTGTAGGTTCTGTCTGGGCACATCGGTGGAATTTCAAGAAAGGGTAATTTATTAATCATATCACAAATTGCAATGCTACTAAAATATTGTGAAACATGGTATACCAGTACACAGTTTTTTGTAGGAAATGCTATTGATATCATGAGAAAACATTCATTTAACCTACTCAGCTTTTTTGCTCTCATGAGATTTTAATGGGTGTTAATCAATGTTTGTTAATGTATGTTGTTCAGATTTGATTATACCAACCCCAGTATAATATCCAACTATTTAAATTTCCAGTTTTCTGAAGAATTATTCACAATGAGATCCCGAGAAAATTATGCTAGGCAGGTGGATTTGGTTTCCACTGATCCAGAATCAGCTTCTGTATATGGTGTGAAAAAGAACTCAGCCCTAAATGCTTCTAAATATTTTCATGTTGTTGATGGACTTCCTTCTGATATCATGCATGATATCTTAGAAGGTGTACTTCCTTTCCAAATTAAAGTGATGTTGAGAAAATTCATCATGGTGGATAAATTTTTCACACTTGATCAGTTCAACCATGCGCTTTCAGCATTCCCATATGGTGTTTGTGACATCAAGAACAAACCAAGCTTGGTAAAGAATGTCAATCTTAGTGATTACCATTTACGCCAATCAGGTATTTAACTATTTATTTAAGAGTTGCCTTAAACCTGAGGATGACTACATCAACCACAGGTCCCAAGTTCCCATAGTTCTTTTAAAAGTTCTTATAGAATCAGTGTTTAGTCAGTGTTTTAACATTATGCTAGCACTAATTGAGTTATATTTCAGCATCACAAATGTGGTGTCTTTCTAGAATCCTGCCATTTTTGGTTCACAAATGGATACCAGAAGGAAATGATGACTGGGAATTGTTCACTGATTTAATGCATATTGTTGATATATTGTTTGCCCCAGTGATTGAGAAAGGTACTACACTCTATCTTCGGCTCATAATCAGCGAGTATCTGGAACAGTTTAAAAGGCTCTATCCTGAAAGGAAACTTATTCCAAAACAGCATTTCATGGTTCATTACCCAAACCAAATTCTAAGGTATGTCTATTGATCTGGTTCTCACAGGTGGTGGCTTCAATGCTGAACACCTCAGTACATTTGATAATTTTAATTATTTATTTTATATATTTTAGATATGGACCCCTTGTGCGCAACTGGTGCATGCGCTTTGAGGCTAAGCATCATTATTTTAAGCTTTTGGCGCAGACTGTAGGTTGCTTCAAGAATATAGCAAAGACATTAGCTACCAGGCACCAACGGCTTCAGTGTTACTGGCTTAGTGACAGTGATGGCTATTTAAGGAGTGATACTGAGGTTGGACCAGGTTAGTGAACAACAAAAGTGCATACTGGATATTAGCTGGAATTTTGTAATGGTTTTTAGGATGTTAAATGTTGTTATAAGTATCCTTTTATTCTACTTCATGTATTTATTAATATTCTGCTTAGGTAAAGTTTTTTATGTGAAGGATCTGGAAGAGAAAGAATGCACCTCACTGTGCCAGTTGGGCAACAATTTGGATCAGAATTCAACTGTGACACTGTAAGTTTGTTCTTATATATGGTAAAAATTATTTAAAACTGGACTGAAAAGTGAAAACTATATTCACATTCCAGGTTGAATTGGGTGAAAGTCAATGGATACAAGTATAAAAAGAATATGATCATAGTCTATCAGCAATTAATTTTTCCTGTGTTTCTTTTATACATAATGTTTTTTTATGCCAAACATGGATGTTATGTTTTCTTGCAAGAAAGTAAATACAGTTGCTTTTAGCAGGCACATTCATTGCTATGAGGTTGAAGTTTTGGAAGAATTTGTGCCCTTATTATTTTCTGGGATGCTAGATCATCATCCTCTAGATCTTTATACCATCGTTGTAAATAGAGAATCAAAACACTTTGTAAGAATGAAGTACGACCTATCTGATGCTGAACAATAGTATACATGTGTTAAAGAAATTATTAAACATAATAAAGAAATTCAGTAAATAAATGAATTGTCTGACTCATGATACTGTGCCTGCCTGGAAACATTTAACGAAAAAACTGCATGTGCATGCTTGCTTAGGAACATTTGACGAAAACACGTTTTCGTACCTGGTATACAAATTGTTGTGACCCAGGGTCTATTGGTCTCTTAGTATGTAGTCAATTCCCATTCTTTTGTATCTATACAACCATATATACTCTTTTATTTTGCAACAAATCAAGCATTTTCCGTCGCGGTCTTAATTTATAAGGCATTGAATTTTGTACACAATTTAGATGTAAGTTTACGCTCTTTCAAGTGCAATTTTGAAAACTCATATCGGGTAAATATACACCGTAGACGGTAAATTTACAACGCTCTCGGTGTTTAATAACCTTGTTTTTACTTACACCAGATCACGGTACATTCACGTTTTTTTGGTGTATTAATACAAAAACCAAAGTGTAGATATACACTTATCGAGTGTAAGCATATCTTACACTAAATAGGTGTATACTAACGCAACCGTTCAGTGTAATATAACCTGAGCAGTAGGTAAATGTATGCCATTTTTAGGTAAAAAAACACCAAATTTGGTGTAACCTAGGTTTGTTTGTTTTTACACCGAGAAAGTGTTACAGAAACGCTAGCATAGTGTAGAGTTACGCTTTTTAAGTGTATTGCTACACTCCAATGGTGTTTGACTTGGCAAAACACCTAATCGGTGTTATCCTACACCAGTTTCGTGTTGGCGTAACACTGCGAAATTTACAGTGCACATATATTATGGAGTTGAAGGATGCTGATACTGTTGCTTGAATATAGATATTACAATAAGTCTTGATAATTAATTAATATTATATTAAACCCTGTAAAGTATTTCGTGTTTGTATATTATAAATTTTCTGCACAGTGTGCTATTTTTTAATATAAATTATAAATGTTGTACCCACAGCTCGATTGTTGCTTCCAGGTTATAATGTGCATCAGTGAAAAACAACATTATTAAGTAGGCTGTCGAAAAGGACCATTCGGGATAGTCAACAAATAAGCAATTGTGCATGTTCACATTATTAAGAACTACTGTAATGCATATACATAAATGAGTGCCTGTTTACATTTTGAACAGCTACTGGCAAGTCGTGGAATAATACACAAAAGTCAGACTACTTTATTCGAGGCTGCATGTTTAGTTAATTATTACCAAATTATAGCCATTGTTTAGTAAAGTGATGTTGGGATAATTTGTCAATTTCTTGTTTATGGCTACAGATTTTCACCATGAGCCGACAGTTGAATCTGTATCAACACTATAGATACCAGAATCCACGGTGTCTTCTTTAAGAGCACTTGCTTCACCTTCGACTACACTTGTAGCATTTGTCGAAGCCTTTTGGGATCGCTCGACTGTCAGAGCAGTACGGGTAGTGAATGCCCTATTTCTGTCGAAAACCTTAGTTTTCACAGATAACTGTTTCAGACGCTTCGTAGCTTCGAACGAACAAGCACTTTCCCACTCCTATGTAAACACCGCCATATTTGCGTTACAAGCATTCGTGGTTAGTGCTCAGGCCTCTCTCGCAAATACTAAGGACAGATGGCTTAGATGATCATCTAAGGTTGCTAATACCACATTTCTCAATTGAGAAACCTCTGTAGTAATACTAGTTGAGAATTTGTGACACGGGTGGTTAATGACGCGTGTGCATGGACGCAGGTTTAAAAACAGGGTATCAAAATAACACGGCTCACTCAAACTCATTAACTGGAACACAGATTAGACAAGAGGCTAAACTGCTCATACAATCTCCAAACTGAATCGAGCCCCTCTACTGTGAGTGATATACGGTGGGACACAAAATTGAGAATTTAGTGCACGAGGCACTTCATATACATCAAATTTAGTGAAAATTGGTGAGAATGCTACATTAGCAATTAATTTTTGATTAGTATTTTTTTTTGGAAAAATCAGTAATTCAGGGGGGAGAATTTTTTGTCCAATGTACAATCAACAATTTTGTCCAACATTTTTGTCAATGTGCATATCAGGAATGAAATTGTCAAAAACCATTGAACAAATATATAGAAGAATTCATTTATAAAGTGAAACTTTTTACTAGCAATTATAACCTATGTATTTATTTAATTATTTCCCATGAAAATTTAAAAAGCAAGTGCTCTTCGTTACACATAAATACACATTACACTTGAACATTGTTTTCTTTTTACAATTATCCATTTTGCACCTCTGTGCATTGGCCAGTGGTCATACTTATCGTATCGTACAGCCTCTTGGATGCTTGATGCCTTCATCCTTTTCTTTGCACATTGGCTTATCATGTGCAGTGCAATTCGCTGGTACCACTTCCGAGATCTATATTTGGTAAATTCTATATATGTAACGACAACTGATTTCTCTTTATTCACATTTTGTGCTGAAGAACCTCTGCCATTTTTCTTCAAGTTGCTTTCACTAGGTACAGGACACTTTCTTGACCTATTGGCATTCAATTTTGTCAAAGCCCAAAAACCTTTAGTAGCTAAATATTCCATTAGCTCTGGACATGAAAAGAAGTTGTCAAAGAAATGTTTGTGCTTATCTTTTTCAAGCTTCTCAATCAAGCGCAAGACAACAAATCCACTCTCGCCACACTTTTCTGGTGCATCCCATCCATCCGGATGACCAGTTTTCTCTTTCTCTCCATCCACTTCGAAAGAATAGACATAACCAGAGACACTGACAAGGGCCCATAGCGTATAGCCCCACTTCTTTGGTTTTTTTGGTAGGTAACATTTCAGACTACTCGCTCCTTTGAATGGGACTACTTGCTCATCAACAGCAAAATAAGTTTCTGGAATGACAACTTCCAAAAACTTTTTTCTGAGGTAATCAACAAGTGGCTGGATTTTATAGCATTTGTTGTAACCTTGATTGCGAGCATAGATCAAATTGTTGTCATTATAATGAAGTACCTGCATGATCTTTCCAAATCGATTTACTGACATCGTGTTTGTAACAAACAAGTTAAAAAACTCTATGGGTGAGCTATTTTTATATTCAAAGGCTATCTTCTAAATCAGGAATAAGCTTTGAAATTTGGAATTTGCCAAGTTTGTTTTCCCGTCAACTGCCATTGGTATGCCTCTTCACAACTACATGATGGTGCTTGTTCTGAATCTTCTTTCTCGTCACTGTGACTGTCACCTTCTGTGTTAAGTAAACATAGAAAATATATATTGAATTTCTAACTTAGCTAGGAGATGGCAATAACATTCTACTATATATTTGTTACACCAGAAGAGTCCGTGATATCTTCCTCAGACTCAATATCAGAGGGCGCATTTTCATCACTTCCCTCTTATGAAGCTTCACTAATATTGTTGTACGACTTTTATTACAGTCACTTTCTTCACTGTTATGATCAGCTGAATCTAAAACAAAATCACAATCAAAGTTGCTAACATCAATGACTGGATTGTTGAATGTTCCTGTTTCTATCTTGATTTCGCTGAGCATTCTCGTTATTTCCTCTTGATTTTCTAGCACTTTTTTCTGGCAGTCACATGGCAAAATTGGACTTATTTCTCTAGATAATGCTGTCTGTGTTGCAATATCTTTCAGGGTTGTATTATTTGTGTTGGCAACAGGCTGTACTGTTTGTGTGTCAACATCAATCGGTTCCATTTTGTCACGAAGTTCCAGTGGATTTTGAACCCGAATCTGCTCTTCACTGGAAAGGAAGTCCAATGAGCCTGGTTTTCTTTTATTTTCTTCATTTGGCGTTTCAACTTGTTTTTGAATTTAAAAAAAAATTATATACATGAATGACGAATTTGTCATTTAATGTCCAAAAATGTATAAACCAAAAGTGAACTTAACTATGCTATATACAGATAAAATTATTTTACCCATATTGCTGTTGTCCTTGACCTTGTACGCCCATTAGCATTGTCCGGTATTTTCTTCCTGCATTATGTTCTTCTTTCTTTAATTTAACGAAAAGAAAGACTGAGTCATTATCATGTGAGAATGAAGAAAAGTAATAAATACTACCGTACTTCAAATTCTATTCTTGGACTGACTCCACGTACCATCAAATGACACTGCAATATCAACTATTTCTCTGTCATCCTTTTGTAGAAATGTTCTTACACGATGACCGGCATCGTTCAACTTTTCTTCCATGACTTTTTTTGTTGTTAAATTTACAGAACAATTGTGTTGTTGGTAGGCACGATCAGTTACAGGAGGTGGCATATTTAAAAATTCACAAATAGTTGCGAGAGCCTCTCTGCCTAAGCCCAGCTCACTCATGGCAAAATTTGTTCTCCGATTGACATCAAATAAACTTCCCTTTCCTTCGACTGGCCTTGATGTAACCATCTCAACCTTCTGTTTACATTCTGTGCACTTAAGATAAAAGCAACTACTCAATCCAGCACGTTTTGAAGCATCTTCAGAATTTGTTATTGTACCATTCTTACACTTGTGCATGCTCTCAATGGTTTTTCTAATGTTTTCAACGTAAACAATACGATACCCTTGTTCTTGCTCTTGTAAACTTTGTCTTGTAGTTACCCCTTCATCCTTAGGAGTTTGAGGTAGTTCTAGGTTAGCCTGCTCTAGTTTTCTTTCTGGTGTTGATTTTACAATCGATATATGTTCGTTATCCACAGCCTGATCAGGAATATTTGGGTTTTCAAGACATGTAGATTCAGATTGAGACCCACAATTGCCTTTCAAAACATCGCCATCTTTGCGCATATCAGCTGCTGATTTCCCTTTGAAACGGAATTTTTTCTTTGGTTTGTTTTTCACACGAAACTTTTTCTCCTTCTTTGGAACCTTTTGATATTATTACAAACCAAAAATACAACGAAATATCGCGGAAAAATAACAATTTAGAAGAAATATACATCGTGCTATTTGAAAGTTGAAATATATGTAATTAATGTAAATGACTACAATGAGCAAATTATGCTGTGCACACATGTCCCCTCTGTGCCCATCTTATCCATAATGCACACAGAAACCATAGGTAGCCCTGCATAAAGGTTTGACTTCGAAATGGTACAGTAAAACGGCTTTTTTTGAGCATTTTTGAAACGCGTTTCCATGGTTAACCTATTGTAAACATTACAAAATGCTGAAAATTTCAGGCAATTTGGTTGGAAATAACTGTAGATATCTTTCCTCCACTGCGAAAAAAGCATCATTTTAGAAAAACAAGCTTAAAGTTCACGGAGTGGGGAAAGTAGCAATCCTTACAGTCTCAGTGATTCTAGAAAGTTAATATAAGTAGAAAGCATCTTCATATGCAATTTCCCATGGAGCTAAAAGCCTCCTGCTTCATAGGTGACACGCTCAGCCTCCCGGAGAGCTTCTTCGCGGGTAAGTTGTCTCTGTTTCATTGCTTGGCGTCGCCTCTTTTCTTTCTCAGTGACTTTTTTGCTTTTTTCATTCTGTTTTTGTCTTTTTTTGTTGAAGCTTTTCTGGTAAATTTTCTTCCTGGGATTGATAATCTTTCCGTTATTCTCATCCTTGAGGCTGCCCCACTGTGGAAATGGCAGACCGCAGAAGCTACGGTACAGCGAAAAACCTTAGCTCCACGGTGCTTGTGCTTAGGACGCCGTCCCCACACCATGGAATTGATACTTTCGTTTTGGTTCTGGGTAGCACCACGCACACAGCGTTCAAGTAGGTTGCTATCGCTTAGGGTGATAAAAGTTTTTCGCAACACATCCTGAAATACTTCTGGGAGACAATCTTCTTGTTTATAAGTATCTGTATCAGTTGCAGCATCGTGTTGCCACTCACACCAGGACGGCTCCCCCTTTGGACAATACCGGTGTTGTTTTCTTAGGTCTTCACAATGAATGGAATGATGCAGAATAGCAATTATATTATTTTTTTTCATGGTGTTAACAGCAAATGTAACCTCTTGCACTGTGGGATTAGGTTTTTTGATGGTATTTTGCCTTATCGCAAGGCCATAATACCTTTGAATGCGTTTAATCCTGCTCTCTGACAAGCGACCCTTTCACCGATAATTTTTCCGTCTGCAAGCTTCCCTTTGGTGACACCCTTCAGACTCACCAATACCCATGCGCATGACCAACACAGTCTAGTTTTTCAACTTTACAATCATCATAGGTATCTTCCACGGCATTATGGGCTTTGCTATCACCATCTGAAACCAAACATCTGTATCGCAGGTTGTGATACTGTATTGCGATCTTGCGAATATAAGATCTTGCGAAACCTTTCCATGATCCTGAAAAATCGTCGCAAGATCTTGCAAAAACTTTCCACGATCTTGGAACATTTTGGCAAGATCTTGCAAAAGCTTTCCATGATATCTTCTCTCGTTGAACACACCAGGCTGAAAAGCTACAAATCATCATAATTCACACAAATTATCTTTATTTTTTTCCTTCAGCCTGCATGTTTTTTAGACATAAAATATTAAAATTAATAAATATTAAATTTACAATGCTATTTATTTAACTGTCCAAGACAACGGCGCTTTTCATTCCACTTGATTCACCCTGTTGTGATTTTTTCATTTTTCTCCGTGTATCGCGGCACTTCTGATTGCAGGAGTCCACAATCATCTGGTGCGATTTTTTCACTCTCTCCTCTTCGTACTTGAGAACGTCTGCACGTTCTACCTCTTTCTTTTGTTAAAAGTTCTCCTGCCTTTGTAAAAATATTTTTTACAGTTTCAAGAGGCAAAAACCCCAAATGTGCCTCTTCGGGTTTCACAGATAGAGAAAAAGCTTTTTCAGTCATTTCCTGAATCTCTTCATTTGTCACAAATTTGTCGTGGCATCGTTTTTCGTATGCTTTGCGCTGTGTGGTTGACATTGAAAACCATTTATTTAGTGTGATTTGAAAGTTCAAGTACTCCGAATCTAATCTGTGCGGGCCCCTAATAACGCCCTCATATCTTCCCTTTGGCGTTTAAGAGGCTGTGCCCTCTTCATCGTGAAATTGGCCATTTCGCTTTTCTTGAAGTTGACTGCTCGTTTGATCATAGCATTTGCCGATTCCGGAGTTTTTGTGTAAAATGGTTGTGGTGGATTTTCCAGACCAGCATTCGTGCGTGCATTGGCTAGCATATTTTCCATTATCATGTGTGCCTAGTTAAAACAAAGATACAAAAGTTAACTGAAGAATGTTTAATATTTTAAATACTCTTCTCCTAATTACGTGCTTATTGCAATAAGGTGCTTCAGATATTGTTGCAGCATACCAGAGGACTTGTTTATTTTATATTTAAACTTTAACAATACAGCGATTTTCTTTTACCCATTTTAAAAAAATAAAACAATACAATAACAATAACCATGCACATGCAAAATTATATTTTCGGGGGAAAAAGCGCAAGCTGTTCACGTGCATAATTAAATTTCTGTTCACGTGCGCTAATTAATAGGATGATTAAAACATCAGCACACTCCCGGCGTTGATAACTACTAAAACATGATACACAACTAACGTAATGCAACAATGATCTAACTGAAATAACAACATCTAAATCAACTCATGTCCTTTCTTAAAGGTTCATCAATTACTGCTGCATGTAATGCTGTAATTGGATTCATCTCGAACTTCAAGGGGAATTAGATGTTGCACAAATCTACGACGTTTGGTTGGTTTATTTCCTTCTGAATTGAGCACTTGTATTCTTGCAGCTCGAATTTCAAAAACTGGGTCCTATAAACTTCGTAGCCGTAGTCGTTGTCAAGCGCTTAGTTGTTAAGATGGCTGCAACTACGAGTACGAATACTGCATTCGTGATTTTTTTGTGCTGGTAGTCGTATTTTTAGTTGGATCCATTTTAACAACATCGACATGTACTTCAATAGAACGCTTTTAGAAGCAGCTGCATTTTTATTTACGCGAAAGTATATACCAGCACAAGAATTTCTTGTCATACACGAAGCAACCAAGCGAACCCCGCCGGAATTTCCGTACAGGCAATATAACAACATCAATGTCCAGTTGCAGCAAATGAATGACGACGAGTGCCTAGCCGAGTTCAGAGTTAACAAGTCAGAATTGGACACCTTAGCCGAAGCATTGATGATTCCCGAACAATCTCGCTGCCCTAATGGCACGGTGGCTTCTGGAATTGAAGGTTTATGCATCCTATTGCGACGTTCTGCATACCAATGTAGATTTGGTGATATTGTACATCGGTTTAGAAGATCAGTACCAGAGTTAAGTCTAATAACGTCTGAGGTTGTTGATTTTATTTACCAAACACACGGATATTTGTTGAGAACATTGAATCAGCCGTGGCTTGCACCTCAGTGTCTGGAAGAATTCGCAGATGCTATTCATCAACACGGAGCAAAGAAGGTTTTTTTGAAAAAATTTTTTTCTTTCTTCTTTGAATGAATTAAAGACAATTAAAGACAATTTTTGGAAATCCTTTAAAATTTCAACAGTTACTGAAGGACTGTAATAACAGAACATCCCAAAATGTTCCTAATGTAAATGTCCCCTTTCCCCAAATGTTTTTGAGTTTTAACTAGGTAGAACCGTAGAAGACCCTCAGTGGCTTGCAAAGTTGAAGTCTGGCTAGATCTCTAATCTTCTATAATAACCTCATCACTGTCGTACTCATCGTCGGACATATCCTTGAGCAGCACATCTGACATCTGAAGGGTGTTTGTCTTGATGTAGTCTAGTTTCCGAATTTTTTAAGCACCAAGACGATTTCTTAATTTGGATTGGATGAATCCGAAGGTGGAAAAATTCCGCTCTGAGGCAGCACTTGATGCTGCCATGGAAAAAACACGCACTGCCAGGTTTTGCAGTAATGGCCAATCTGTGCTGTTTGCTAATCACCACTGGAGTACTGACTTGGATTTGCCAATCATTATAAAGCGGAATGTTTTCTGTTGTCTTTCACTTAGCGCTTCAATCCGAAAGGCAGTATATTCTTATACAACCATTTTGCAGCATTCCATCACCCAGGTATCTTGGATCTAGAAGATAGGCCACACCATGAGCGTCTCCATACATAAAATCAAACCGGTCACGCACCAGCTTTACCAAGTAAGCCTTCTTGTCAGAATCACCATTCTTTAGGCTGCGCATCTGCTTCTCTAGCGCAACAAACGCCTTGTACACATCTGAGCTTGGGACCGCATCGTTTTGGAAGATCTTTATGTACATATCGATTGGTGCCAGTATCGTTAAGAATTCATCAAGCTTGACAACAAAATCATGTGATCACTGCTTTAATTGCCACACGCTTTTCCCTTTGTTTGGCATTTCCCTTGGTAACGAAGTCCCACTCAGATACTAAACCATTAAGAATATTATCAGCCTTTCGCAACGATGTCAAGCAGCCATTCAATGTGCCCCAACGTGTTGGTACAGGCTGGACCAAACCACTCAACTTAGCTGCAGCCAGTGCTTTCTTTAGCTTTGCCTTAGGGACGTGATGATTATGAAAAAAGGAAACAACATCTTTACAGTCGAGGGTAAACTGAAGCAGGTCTTTAAATGGGTAGCCAGCTGGATACTCCGCAGGACCACCATCAGGGGCATCCTTCTTTTTGGCTGCAAAGACATCTTTCACTAGAAGGTGTAGCCCATAGGACACACAACAATGGAAAAAGAGGGTTGGGTATTTCTTTTCCAATCACTCCATGCCTTTTTGTTTGTTGCTGTGTTGTCTGTAACTGCACCAACTACATTGTCTCCGAGACTATCTACCACCCGACTTAGATCTGTGAAAAGCCATTCGGCATCGTGACTTTGCTCTTCTGTGTGTACTGCTTCCAACAATAGTGATTTTGTTGGACACACGGCCACATAGTTGACAACAGGATCATTCGATATATTCGACCATGCATCACTTGTAATGCAGACAAAGAGATCATCAGCGGAAAGCTGCACTTTATTGACCTCCTCCTTTACCCTCTGGTAACATTCATCAAGCAGGCCCCCACGACTATCATCTGCTACCTGCTTGAGTGTGGGCAATTTAGCACCTGGACGTGCCAATTGGATTGCCCGAAAAAGAAATGGATCTTCAACTCTCTGGAAACTTGACCCTGTGCAGTAAAAATACATTGCCATTTCATGATTGAACCGCTTTTGTTCTGAGGCACTGAACAGGGGTATGGCAAATGATCTTACTGATGATTGTGACTTAATGCGGTTAACAGACGAAGTGCTTTTCGAGGATGTTGACCCGGTTGACTTCTTTGTAGTGCCCCTTTTCTCAATCCACCAGTCTGGGTGGTCGTTGACAGCCCTGTCCAAAAATACTTTTTTGAACTTGGGGCATTTCAGAAGGTTGGCTTTGACAGATGCAGTTTTGTGGTGATGGCGGACAGATGCCTTGCAGTGTTTGCATACAGCATTGTCAGGGCCTTTGACGGAATAACAAGTGGGGTCATCAAATGCATAACTTCATATTGGTGGATGTACTGGTGGGCCACGTTTGGGCTTGCTAATAGTAACCTCCTCAACCTGCATATTTTCAATTGGTCTATTGTTGTCAATCATTCCAATGACATTGTCGTCATTTATTTCTACAACTGTTGTACTTGTGAGCTCAGGTTCACTGTCAGTCATGATGGCATCCAAGGCTGCAAGTGGCAACAAACATATTGTGTACCAGTTTGTTAAACTTCATTTACTTTAGTGGTATAAGTATTAAATATGCATATACGTACCCCCTCCCAAAAGGAGGGCTGAAAGATAATGCATTCTTTTCTTACCCCCCCCCCCCCCACAATTGGACGGATTGTTGAAAATGGATTGTTTTAATTTCTTACCCAATTTGTTAACACTTAGCACTAAAAGTCTAATACTCTATTTGTAAAAATTTATATTAAAAATAAAAAATAAGAAACAAAATAAAAATATCTCAAATAGATCAAAGTTACAAGTGAAATAACAGAAAAAATAACAGTCGAAAAGGAAATATTTATTCATGAGCTAAATATTCAATAGTGCTAAATGCAAATATGAATTAATAATTACTATTAATTATTATTAATTACTATGAATACTAATTTTTACCTTGTTGTGCCGCCATCTTGAGAATTTAACTAGTCACCAGGCTCTGTCATGAGTCAATTTAATCATCATTTAGTGAATGCACAAGTGAACCACAGAGAATTAAAGTACGTTTTTATTTTATATTTTAATGTGATTTTGGATAAACAATATTTAAAAGAATTAAAGAAGATTAAAGACAATTTTTAGTTTTAACTCAAATTTTCTTTAATCATTAAAGAAGTTTTTGTTTTGCAGTATGATAAATAATAATTAGGTAAACAAACATCGCGATTATTGCACAGGATTCTTCCCTGATGCAAATTCCGCTCTATATATATGTATTATTGAGTATAACAGCTTTGTGTATATACCTTGCAAAACTATATATTTTATATAAATATTAGGGTTACAGGCTCAGGAAGAGCTTCTTCAATCAGCTTTGATGTAACCACTGTGGCACTAGTTTAAATTAATATGGGGGTGGATTAATCCCCTTTAATTAAGTTCTCTATGTTACCACTGGACATTTTGTTTATGTAGAAGGGAAAAGGCATGATGTAGCCATGCTAAGGATGTCTGGCTTGTTGCAGTCACTTGAGGAACACTACAACACAGAAACAGGTGAACCATTATGCATATATGGTGATCCTGCATACCCTCTTTGGAGACACCTTCAGTCACCGTACCGACATGGCAATTTGAGGAGCAGCAATTTAATAGGTCTAAAATGAGGAGCAGGAATTTAATAGGTCTAAAATGAGGAGCAGGCATTTAATAGGTCTACGAGTTCTGTTCGGGTTGCTGTCGAATGGGTTTTTGGGGATATTACATCTTACTTTGCATTCTTGAATTTCAAACATAATCTGAAGATTGGTTTAAGTCATGTTGGTAAGATTTATGCAGCGTGTGCCCTGCTGAGAAATGCCCTTACATGTTTACATGGTTCCACGACTACATATTTTTTTGGTGTTGCCCCACCGACTCTTGAGGAATATTTTCAAACAAACAATTTTGATGTGGAATAATTACAATTAATTAACATTTGTACATTTGAAAAAGATTTAAATAATTTTTAAAACAATATGTAAATAATATAATACAACAAAAATATTCACGCCCTTGTCAATCATTGCTTTTATACCTATAGGGTGTGAAGCAAAAATATCTGATTTAAGAGCTTATTATTTTGATTTGTGGCAATTAGGAAAGCCCAAAATTTCCCAACCCATTAATTCCTTTTTAAAAAGTGCAAAACCTCAAATTTGTGTTCAGGATATGAATAATTTTGTTATCAAGTGTGTAAAAATTGGTATGAAATAATAATTTGTTACTCATAAATTAATATTTATACTGTACATATTATTAAAATATAAATATTCTGGTTGTAATATAAAAGTTGTTGCCATGCAAATTGTTAAACGACCCCTTTTTCTATATGGTTTTATCCGCGGGATCGTCGGGGCCGTAGGAGGGACAGCTCAGATATTACCAGTACAACTTCTTTCTTTTATATATATTTATTTTGTTGTCGTGCCCCAGACCAAGTCATCAACCTTCTTTTTACAATAGTGCAACCCGTGATATTTTTTGTTCATTGTGCATATTACGTGTATCATGTTTCCTATATTACATATCTCCCTCCTTTAGGTGAAAAACCTCCTGGTTTTCGTGGTAAACTAAATGAATATAACGATTGTTTTTCTCTTAAAATTAATCATTGGAGTCAGTTTGTTCCCACGGGTGTGACGTAGATTTCTTCTTAAGTCCAGGTAGTCGTACTCATGTGTCACATCAGTCACTGTTCTGTTCATTGGTTGATCTCTCAGGCAGCTGCATGTCTTTCGGGATGACGTCATCGTCTCTTGCGAAGGCCTTTTTCGCTCACCAAATGTCTTTTGTGGCAAGGACAGGCAACTACCGGTATCGCATAAAAATGACACCGAAAGATCACAAACTTTTCCCGATACAAAAGGGCAATTATTACGTATCTCAAAAGGGACGGCGATAGAGCATGCAACAGGGAATTCAGGAACAGGCTTGTCAGTATAATTGTCACTTCTGTTAGAAACGGGAAATACTAGTCCTTCCAGATCCGGATTAAAAATAATGTCCCGATCTTGTATTTCATTTCCTTTGTCTTCATATGGGGATAAGTCTACTAGGTCATCGCAAACTGGTACATCTATGGTACGATGCTCAGAAAAAAATGATTGTCTAACATCAATATCAACATGCTGTGGTACATTTACATACTGTGACTCGGTCACTTTCGAATTTTCTGCATTACCTTTCGTCAATGTATCACACTCTAGTATCGATTGGCTAGCTTGAAGATTTTCCTTGCATAAAACACTATCAGTTTCGTCTGCGTATAAACTAAAATCAATATCCCCAAGATCAGGGTGTATGGTTCCTATATTTTTCTTATGTACTGTGGGGCTTGGGGTTTCGGCATGTTTATTTTCTTCTATTCCCAAATTAACTAAAGTTGCAACCGGAATATCATTAGTTTCACGAGAAAAGTTATTATCATCATGGTGATCCGTTACGAGACATTTAATTTCATTAATCTTTTCTAAATACTTCGCCTCCCTATCGTCCCGGTATAGAGAAGCCGCAATTAGTTTTCCGCCTGCTGGCGAAATGGGTTACCGGCTCTTTGTTGGGCGGCGAATGGTGGTGCATCAGGGCGTAAATTTACACTGGGCGGCTGCCTAGGGGAAAATCGGCGTGGCATGGAAGGGAATTGTTCCTCCGCACTTCTACAGTTGCGCGCAATGTGGCCCACCTTGTTGCATTTATTACATATGGGTATCCCATCTGTAGTGCGACGGTTGCGTGACGAAGGTACGCCTGTATTTGATGGCCTATTTGTGTGTGCTGAAAACCGTGTTTGACGCCGTACTTCATCCTGAACTAGTTTGGCTATGTCATTTGCATTATATAGCGGACCTACGTCTGATGCGTGTTGCCTGTGTTGTTGCTGGTAATGATTCATGTTGCCTATGTTGTTGATATTATCCTGTCGACCAGGAGTGGTTTGCCTTGGGTACATGCTATATGCGGCCACATCAGGTGTTGTCTTATTTTGCTGGGCAATGGCTAGGGCTTTTAGGCTTTTTGCAACTGACTGGAGTTGTACTTCCAGTTTTTGGTTTCGGATGCAATGCTGATCCTACTTGCAGGGAATTTTGCGAAATTAAGGTTGCCAGTTGGGCTTGTTGCTGCTGCTGTAATTTGACAAGGTCGGTGTGGTGTCGAATGCCTAAGTCGTTTGTTTCAGTTAGTGTTCGTTGGTTAGCCTCAGTTGACCTTACCGATTTCTCAATGGCCGTTAGCAAGTCGGATAACTTTTCCGCAACCTCGGGCGAAGTCATATCTGACTGATTGACCGATTTCCCCAACGAACAATTAAACTCAAGCTCGACAGCAACACGACTGCGACTACGGGTGATGGGTCGGTCCGGATGAGACACAATGAAAAAATTTTATAATTTCGGTTTTAAAAAGCGCAATCGCTTTGTCTACAACTAGACGCAATACGAAACACAACAAAACACATGAACGCACGACATAAATGTTTAAATACAACACATAAACACTGTTTTAGCAACGAATTGGAAACATATGAGAGGCAGAAAGTTTGGACTGACACGACACGTGGTTCTTTGTCTTTTCAAGCAAATACGCGAATAAAAATCGAGCAAATTGTCGTACCTCTGCCAAAGAATAATTTGCGTCGAGTGCGCCACTTGCCACGGCGGTTGGTTGTCTTGTCAGTGGATCGCCAGCGCTTCGATTCCGACCACTTCCCTCGGTTTGCTTCAGGCTTCACCAGATTATCGGCGCATCCGCCCGCAATCTCTACCAATGTTAAACGACCCCTTTTTCTATATGGTTTTATCCGCGGGATCGTCGGGGCCGTAGGAGGGACAGCTCAGATATTACCAGTACAACTTCTTTCTTTTATATATATATTTATTTTGTTGTCGTGCCCCAGACCAAGTCATCAACCTTCTTTTTACAACAGTGCAACCCGTGATATTTTATACTCTACAACTATAGTGCGTTATTGTGCATTGTTCATTGTGCATATTACGTGTATCATGTTTCCTATATTACAAAATGTTACATAAAAAGGAAAATTTACTTTTTAATGGTTTTTACCAATTCAGTCATTGCATTAACAATTGCCATCGTCATGGTTTGTTGTTGCCCTTAAAATTGCTGCTGTTGTTCCAACAGACTTTGCTGAAACTGCTGTTGCATGGCTAACTTCTGCTCCTTTAGATTCATATCCCTTTCTCGCATTTCTTTTTTAGCTTCCTCTCTTTCTTTGGTTGCCTTTAGCACTCTTTTAGCACTTCTATCATTTCCCCAC